TACGTCACACACAGAGAGAAAAGATTTAGAAAAATTTTGAAGAAGTTAAACTTCACTTATATGGCAATAAGGAACTGAGAAGCCTGAGACAAGCATATACCTAATTGACTAGCCATTATGGTGGCTAGGTATTCTGCAAAAAAGTGGCTAAAACATAAGGGTAGAAATTGACCTATGTCAGGGTGTGGGTGTGGGTGGGTAAATCTCTACCCACACCCAAAATCTTTTAAAATGATGATAAGTTTAAATTTTATGAATTTGGAAAAACAATTTTGTAAAAGTATTATTCATCAAAATTAACTGTCGCTTACTCAAATTATAACAGAAGACATTTATGACCTTGTAAGATCAGTTGAAATCGTACAAAACTCTGGTTTCAGCAATTTTACATCGATTCACCATAGAAGATTCTTGTAAGACTTGACTTTTTTTTATAATCGTATGGTACCATCTTACAGAAAAGTAAGATTTTTCTTCTATTTTCTATGACCATTGGATATAAGAGTTTGCGAGTGCTAGTTTTAGTGCGATTTAATCTCATTCTACACTTGATTTTTTTGGACTTGCGATCGAAATTTTCATGTACTAGTATTTTCTGATTTCTTGTTTCATTTATTTTATGATTATTTGACCAATACAAGTTCTATACTGTAGCACTAACGAAAAAAATTTTTTATCAACTGATGGCAAAAAATACTTTTTTTCAGAATATTGTTATTGAAGAGATAGAACCATTGATATTTTGTGCTGGAATTTATAGAGAAAGTTTGAACTCTTATTGAGATGCATCATTTTGTTGTTACACGGTTTGGTTTATGAATATACAATAAAAAAAAAGTTAAGGATGATTCGAAAAATGAAAATGTTTCCTATCTTCGTACCATTATAGAATTTCTTTCAGCAGCTTTCTATTGCTTAGTTATAAGAGTTAATATTTGTCCAATTACTTTTGCGTCTGGTTTTATAGTAAAAGCTGCAGCTTAAAGAGCTCAAAAAGATGTTTCTAATTTAAACGAAATAACTAATGAGAAATCTGAATAGAATTCTCAATAAATTTAATTATTTATGAAATTTTAATGATTTTTATCAAAATGCGATAGCAAATATATTAACTTACAGAGTTATGAAAATGAATGTTTATGAAATGAAAGTGTTGAAAAATAAAAAATATCAAAAAAAGCCAAGAACTAATTATTATTTGATAATTTTCATTAAAGTTGATTATTTAATTAATACAAATAATATTTCATTCAACTCTGAATAGAAAATTTTTCTAACGTTAATTTGATATCAAATCCAACATAAGATAAATTCATATGTTAAGTTAGAAATATATTCCAGATTGCTAGTAATTTCTATGAAGGTTTTTCAATTTGTTTCCATAACGGCCAGAGTACCACGTAGGATATCTTGGGCCTGGATTCGAGTATTCCGTAACTGGATTCGCTCACACAGCGGACCAAAGACTAAACTCTGCAGACCAAGATAGAACTCAACGAGCTCTATCGAATGCATTATTTACTTTTGCACCAGTAACATTCCAATTGAGAGAAAAACCTAGAATACTGTTAAAAAACAAGCAAAAAATCAGATTTGTTTCGTTCAACGCATCGCGATTCGCTCAGAGGGCAGACCAAAATTTGAAAATGATATAGGTAGATACAACACGACGAGCTCTATCCAATGGTCACCTTTTAAGGTATTTTAAGTACTTCAATCCTTCCAAAAACTCCAATATACTCAGAAATCCTGGTTTTTCCAGGAAACCTGCCCGGAATTCGCTCAAACATCGGACCAAAACATGAAAATGACATAGGTAGATAGAACCTGACAAGCTCTATCGAATGGACACCTTTCAAGTTATTCTAGGTACTTCCCTCCCCCCGTAAAATCCCAATAGACTCCGAAATCCAGTGTTTTCACGAAAACCCGAGCGGGATTCGCCCCCTGCTGGGATCAAAAGCTGAAAATGACATAAACCGATAGAACTCGACGAGCTCTATCGAATGAATACCTTTACAGCACGATTCAATGCTTGGATCCCCGCCGAAAGGGGAAATCCAGATCTTAATACTACAATCATTCAAATAATGTTGCTTTTTCATTGTGTCTTTCTAACAAGTATAGAAAACAAAAACTCAACAAATTTTCTTTTTCCTCAAGTAAAAGTGTTAAATATGCTTTAGTACATCGTTGCATATGTTAATTAAGGTTTTTTCTTATTGTGTGCATTGCTTTGAATTTCATCTATTCGTAATGACAGGAATATGATGACATCTTTCTGTTTATATGTCGTTCTTTTTATCATGAAGGACCGGTATGTGTAGAGGAAGAGAAAAAAAAATTATTGGTGAATGAGGTATTATTGGTATGAAGGAGAACGAGAGAGAAGGAAAAAAAACATTTTTCTGTTTATCGCGATCATCATCCTCCTTTTAGTCATCGATATATTTATCGACAGGAAAGCAAAAATATTTCATTGGTTTCTTTCTTGCGATCACCAGCGTGGAAGAAACGAAAGATGGAGCAACACGTAGGATATTTCCGGCCTGGATTCGAGTATATCGCAACTGGATTCGCCCACAGTTGGGACCAAAACCCAAACTCTACGGACCAAGATAGAACTCGACGAGCTCTATCGAATGCACTCTTTACTTCTCCTCAAATTCCATTCCAAGGGGGGGG